ATCAGATGAGTTATTTACTTTAAGCCTACATAGAAATATTATAATATTCAGTTTTGTGAGCCAAATTTATTTTATATGCCAACATCTATGAAAGAAAGAGCCAGGCCACTGAGTGCGACGCATCATTTACGCACAGATGGTTCCGATTTTATTGCCAATATTGGAGTTAATGTTGTGATCTGTGCACACAACCCACCTTTGTCACGTGAGGTTTAAATATATGCAACTTTATGTGAGTGTCTTTATTTGTGGAAAAGGGTGTTTGTCTTACCAGTGGGTCCAACATTACACACACCAAATCCATCTGTGCTTATATGAGACAGTGTGCAGGATGCCCTCTGCAATGCTTACAGCGACACTTGTTTAGGGGCTGCCTTCTGTCGCCATCGTGTGGCATTGCTGTCTTCAGACAGCTCTTGATCTCTTTGACTACTTCACGAAAATCGTAATACGCCTCACCGGTGGCGGATTTAAAGGTGAGGATAGGAGCGGTTCTGATTTGCGAAAACAGGTCTCAGCTGTATTAAATCTACTCCACGCCCTCTCTCCTCCCTCGCTACGACTTACGCCGCTGGGAGGTGCTGAGTTAAGGAGGGGGGATACTTATGCTGGGCTGCGCCGCTCACCAAAATATCACATTGTGCTTGGGAACGCCTTGTCAGCACGGCGGACCTGATTTAAGCAGCGCCTGCGCCATGTCTCTGGCAAAGCACGAAAATAGAGCCCACAGTGTCATCTTTGCTGTCGTTGAATTAGAACTTCTGTAGAAATTTCACTCAAAAATTTTGAGCAGCATTCAGAAAAATTCCTTGGACCATTTTTTGGAGAGGGTATTAATATTGCATGTTCTGTCTGCATTAAATTAGGAAGGGGGTTATGCACCATCCTCCAGTTCAAAAGTCTGACATCCTTTGTAATCACAGATACTCAGCTTCATGGGGTTTGCACTACACCCCCTGGAGATCTGTGGCATGGTGCTCAGATAACCCAGGAGTGACTAAACAATAGAGTCATCAGCGTAACGCACAGCTGTATTTACATCCAGCTGGTTTATCAGATTTCACATTGACATCACCATGTTGTCAAAGTTCTTTCCTCAGCAAAAGTAACTCCAACAACTTTTCATACAGTGTTGAAACTTTATTTTCCTGTAGGGAAATAACTTTGTGATTTACACAGAGAATAAACAAATAGACTGTGAAGTTGTTAGTCAGATAGATATTTTCATATCAGAGTCTGGACTGTGAGCATTAGGGTCTCTGTTTCTGCATGTTACACTCATTAGTGTGTCTGATGTGTGGTTCATCAAGGAAACACAGTTAGGGGTACTGTTACACGGGCAGCAGGTCAGGTAGTGGCGAGGCAAGGTGAGGTGTCTCATTGATTGACAGCTGTGGTCAGACATGGTGCTGCATGTTAAAGTGGTAATCATTCAATTAACTGGAAATCAATGACAGCCATAGCACTGATCTGTTTCAGTAATACCCTGTCAGTCATGCAAGGCCGGTTCACACAGACACACACACACACACAGACACACACATCCTGCCTCTTATTTAGTTTTAATGATCTGATTTTACATGTTGACTCAGGTAACCCTGCCCTCCTAGTGCTCCTTGATTTAACAGCTGCGTTCGACACTGTAGATCATAGAGCAGTGGGTAGGCATAACCCTGCTCTTCTGTGGTTCCGGTCCTATTTAAGTGAACGCAGTTTTTCTGTGCAGCTAGGGGAATTCGCTTCAACTGCAGCCCCACTCACCTCTGGAGTACCCCAAGGTTGAATTTTAGGACCGATTTTATTTTTATTGTACATGTTGCCGCTGGGCTCAATTCTCCGTAAATACAAACTTTCTTTCCACTGCTATGCCGACGATGTACAGATCTACCTGCCCTTAAACCTTTCAAATAATGACTCTGTACAGACGCTGCTGGACTGTTTTTTAGAAGTTAAATCTTGGTTGGCAGAAAACTTCCTACATTTGAATGAAACCAAAACGGAGGCTATATTATTTGGCTGTAACCCATCTGACCTCCCAGCCAATTATCTGGGCCCTCTCACACCGAATGTCCGTGCATCGGTAAAGAATCTCGGCGTGACCTTTGACAGTAATTTTAAACTCGACAAGCAAGTCAACTCTGTGGTCAAAAAAAGCTTTTATCAACTGAGAACTCTGTCTAAGGTAAAGGGTTACCTCTCTCAAAGAGACTTAGAGACAGTTATACATGCTTTTATCAATTCAAGATTAGATTACTGCAATTCCCTGTATGTTGGCTTTGATCAAAATCTGCTCCATCGACTTCAGCTGGTGCAAAATGCAGCTGCCCGCCTCCTTACTGGGAAACGTAAAAGAGAACATATAACCCCTGTGCTCGCTTCTCTCCACTGGCTCCCAGTCTCTTTTAGAATAAATTTTAAGATTTTATTGTTTGTTTTTAAAGCTCTTAATGGACTGGCCCCTGGGTATTTGTCCGAGCTCTTACACATTCATGCACCCACTAGAACACTGAGATCTGCCAATCAGCGGCTATTGGTCATCCCGAAGACTCGCCTAAAGAGTAAAGGTGACCAAGCCTTTGGGGCAGCTGCTCCAAGGCTCTGGAACAGCCTGCCGCACTACATCCGTTCAGCTGAGTCGATAGAGATTTTTAAATCCTCTTTAAAAACACACTTTTTCTCCCTAGCTTTTACCTAGCTCTTGATTGGTATTTTATATTTCATATTTGTTTTTATCTACCTACGTATTTTATATTTGTTTTTATTTATGGTGTATTTGTACCTCAATTTTACTTTGCTGTATTTTAATCTTGTATTCTGTTTTTTTGATCATATTGTTTACTGTCTGTTTTATGTATTTCGCTGTGTCTTATTGACCTGTACAGCACTTTGGTCAGCTTCTGTTGTTTTTAAAGTGCTAAATAAAGTTTGAGTTGAGTTGAGTTGAGTACTAATCATGAATACTTATTTCCTTTTTTAATTTGGAAATGTTTCAGTCAGAAACAACAAAGCATCTATTAAACTTTGTGGGAGGTGTCAAAGTCTAAGCTGAATTAAACTTCTTATCAAAGACTTGAATGTCACTTGTTAATTTCTTTTTTTTTTTACTTAATCAAACCACTAACCCTAACTTCTTAATTACTCCTCAATAAAAAGTACACAATGAAAAGAGAGAGTACTTTTTTGTGTTTTTGAATACTTTGAATAACATGCTTGTCTGACTGTTACTGCATTAAATGGATGATCTCAGTCATACCTGGTTCATGTGGATCCACTTCCTCTTGTACGTAAACACCTCAATCAGACCAAAACTTGCCCAAGGGTTCAGTTCACAAGCTTAGCTTTGACTCAGAAACAAAAAAAAAAAAAAGCATGAATGGGTGCTGGAAAGGTTAAAAATAAAAAACGGACAGATTGTGTGCACATCTCAAACCTAAATTCAGGTCAGGTGCTGGGCATCAAGGTATCAGAGCTGAGCAAAGGGAGGAACGCCTGCACACTAGTTTACATGCTCCAAACACACTTTATTATATCAAGGCAACAGACTGCAATGTTTCGACACAATTGTGTCTTCTTCAGGCAGAGATTGTATTGGCAGACAAGGAAACTCTTTTATACTCGACCACTGATTGATGGTAAAGCACAACAGCCGGGAGTTGGGAGGCTCCCAAATCACCCTACTCCAATCACAAGGACTGAATACATGGGTTAACCCTCAAAAGACACTTTTTTCCTTATACACAATACTTAAAAAGTGCATACAATATGAGAGAGTGGATATAATGTAAAGGTAAGTCATATGCATACATATATATATAAGAATTAAAAACAATGAAACCTTCAGTCATGAAAAAGTTAAAGTTTACAATTGAAGTTCAACATGATACATTCAATGTACTGTAGCACAACACCATATTCAGCATTACATGATTAAGTGTTTAGGCCTATCGCATGATAGGGGTTTGTGGTGAGTGTCCCAGGTCAGACTTGAACCAGGGACCCTATGCTTAGGGGAATAGGTAGGCTATCCCCTAGGTCACTGACCGGCTTTGTGGAACAGGCCTAAAGATGCCAATGAGGGGAAAACAAATATAACCTAGAGCAGGGGTGTCCAAACTTTTTTCACTGAGGGCCACATACAGGAAAATATACAAATGGACAGGCCACACATTAGAGGTGAGGTATATCACCTCACCTCTAGTGTATTAAAGTTAGCAAAATCAATCAATTGTAGGGAAAATATGCTTGATAATTTAATATACTTAAAGAAAAGAAAAAAAAACACACACACTGTAATGAATTTCCTGTCGAATTTACAGTAAATATCAGGCAAAAAAGTTGCCTAAAGTGCTGTAAAGTTGTTGTCAATTACTGTAAAAAATAATTACAGTATATTATTGGATACTGTTTACAAATTTTTGCTCTATATAAATTACAGTAATGTATTGTTATTTAAAATTAGAAACAACCATTAATTGTATTTTTAGTTTACATTATCTTGTATTCCATTCAAATTACGTGTTACCTGGCAATAAAATTTGCCAATAAATAGCTGTGTTTTCATGATACAATTTTTTTATTGTAGAATGTTTTTACAGTTGGTCTTTGTTTAGCAAATTAACCACTGTGATTGCTGATAATCCAAAATGTATCAATACTACATTAGATTAGCTTCTGCTGTTAAATAAAACAAGAGTCAGTGCTGCAGAAACAAAACCTTTTATTGAGAGTTATGTATGTGTATGAAATGTATTAAAGTAAAGAGGTGATCTCAACACATTTATTTTTTAAACAACCTTAAACAGGCATAGAAGGCATAAAGATGAGATAGACTGCACAAGACTTTTGCAGCATCTCATTGTACAGTAACTTATACTACTGTAATGTGTAGTAACACAGTCAAACATGTGTAACACGTAAAAACTAACCATATGTTGGAACTAGTTTTGGTAATGAAATACAGTGTGCCATTGCCCTTTCTTTTGCGACAGGCTCAAAGCCATTCAAAGTCCATTAATCTTTTGAGAAGTGCAGAAACATGAGGGATGACCCCATTGTTCCTCTTCCCATTTAGCTTCCTGCTTCTTGGATAGATCCACTTGATTGTCTTGGTGCCAGAGGTTGGGTTGATCCCAATGAAGCATCTGAAGTCACAAAATCAGAGAAAAGGGACACCTAATGAAATACGTTGTTTACAAGAGACAGTAGGATCCATCAAGTTGTGGAGACAAGCTCATCATTTTTTCAAAGATGCAAAACTGCAAAACCAATATTTGCTTTAGAAACATTATCTAACACATACCTTGTGTTTGCCAGGCACTGAGAAGAATTGCAGGTCGGGTTTGGACTCTACACCAATGCTTGCCAACTTGTTCAGGAGCGATTTGACTTTATCCTCTGGTAGGCTGGGTAATACCACCAACACAGCTTCTCTTATGTCCTCCATCAGCGATGGCATTTCAGTTTATGTCTGGAAGAGCGTGATGAAATATTAAATATTAAAAAAGGGAGAAAACAGAAAAAAAGTATGTTCAAAAACAACAAAACAAATACAACAGACACAGCTTTAAGTAACCACAGCTTTAACTAACCATATGTGATTGTGCCATCATTGGTGTCATAATGTTAAGACCAGTATTTTGCTATCCACTTAATGCAGCAAGAATAGAAAATCTTAGCTTACATGAGGAAGCTAAACTGCTTAGGTAGCACAAAGGTTGTGCTGAATCTCCACTATGTGAAATTTTAAAATCACACAGGACAGGATAACATGGCCAGCAGTCTAAATATTATTGACATTATTTTTTACCTGAAAATCGTGACAATCACTGCCCTAGAGCTCACTGCCTGCGGTTGTCCTCTGCACCTGTAGCGACAGGATTAATCAGTTTAACGGTAAAACATGGGAAGTTGAAAATACACTATACATATACAGAACAAAATACAATCCCTCAGGTTGGGAGAGCATTTAAATACAAGTCTTGGTTTTTCTGGAAAACTTTCTTCAACCTCGGGTCGGATTGGATAATATGCCAATGTTTTTGAATGGCACCCCTTAACTCTGTGCCCAGTGGAGAATATTTAGTGCAGCACATAGGAGGGTTGTTCCCAGTTTTCTTATTTTTGGGGCGCAGGCAATCATTTTGTGTTACCTGGTCAAAGCATTCACTAGCTGCATCCACCCATTCCTTTTTATACCCTCTACTGAGGAACCAGTTAGAGAGATCTGAGGACTGTTTTGAATAAGAAGCATCCTCACTACAGATCCTCCGAACCCTGTGGAACTGGCTGACTGGCAGGCTTTTAATCAAAAGACGTGGGTGAAAACTATCACCCCTTAAAAGGGAATTACGGTCTGTGGGTTTGCGAAACAAACCCACAGACCAGATTCAGTCCTTGTGTTCAGTCCTTGTGATTGGAGTAGGGTGATTTGGGAGCCTCCCAACTCCTAGCTGTTGTGCTTTACCATAAATCAGTGGTCTAGTATAAAAGAGCTTCCTTGTCTGCCATTACAATCTCTGCCTGAAGAAGACACCATTGTGTCGAAACATTGCAGTCTGTTGCCTTGATATAATAAAGTGTGTTTGGAGCATGTAAACTAGTGTGCGGGCGTTCTTCCCTTTGCTCAGCTAGAATCTAGAACCTTGATGCCCAGCACCTGACCTGAATTTAGGTTTGAGATGTGCACACAATCCGTCCGTTTTTGAACTGTTCCTTTTTCTGTGTGGCACTCTCTTCGACTCCCACAAAACCACTTTTTCGGCAACATGGCAGGCGAAGCTGTTCCTTCAAGCCAATATGGAACATTTGAATTCAGCGAGGATGACTACTCCCGCAAAATGGTGAAGGACTCAATTTTTGATGAGGAGGAAGAAGTCTCAACCCTCAGAGACATTGATGAGCTTACCAAGAAGCTATATGACCTCCAAGTACATGAGATAAAAACAAAATTCCATGCCATGGCGCTAAGTGACTATCTTAAGAAAAAGTATATTCCTCATGGCCTTAGAATTCAGAAGCCGCCTGCTATTGGTTTAGATAACCCCTTGTTTTGCCAACGGTGGTGTGCAATATTGAAGAAGTCTTTTTTTGATCTGATTACTCTCTGCATAGAAGAACTAGCACAACAAAATGCAAAAATAAGTGCAGAGGCCAAACAAACAATGGCCCAGATAGCAGAAGTTTAGGACAAGAAGAAATAGGCTGAATTCAAGAGTGACCTAGAACAGCACCGTACAGAAGTTTCCAGTGACATCATAGCAGAGAACAAATGCAAATTTAAACGCGACACCTTAGACTACCAAGAGAACAAGGTGTACTTTTGGAAGGATGGGAAACAGGTTGAGAAAGGCAAGTCTCAGAAGAACAAGGGCCAGAAGCCTGCACAATGGCACCGAAAACAAGATCGGCAGCATAGACAACACCAAACCCAGCCATCATCTCCCTTCGACTCTGGTTCTGACATGAGTGGTCAATCTGGGCATGGTGCGTCTTTTTTAGGTCACGCCCATGGAAGACGCAGACAACCATACCATTGGAAAAAAGGCCTCCCAAACATAAAAGATGTAGGAGAAGCGCGAAGAAGACAGCTACACCCGGAGTGGGAAGAGGAGACAGCGATAATCAACCTCTCAGATAAGACCTTGTCTGAAGCCTGCTCATCAGCATTGGATAAGGGACTGAGTTTTGTGCCCACTACAAACACTAATGACTTTGAAACCTACATTGACTTTCAGAAGTTCTTTCCATTCCTATATGAACAATTGTCCCCCCACTGTTGCTCAATCTGCGGATTCTGCCACGCCCCCTGACAACGTCTGTGACATTTCATCAGCCACCCCCCCCCCCCCCAGTTGTCCTGTTGTCCTATGTACACTCCCTTCAAGAAGAATTCCACATTCATTCCTTGTAAAAATCGTAATGCTTCAATAGATACCTATTGCCGTTTAGTGGATAATGATGTGAAAAATCTATTAAAAAAGAAAAAGGAATACAAGGTGTACAATAATTTGTCTAAAATCGAACGGGATGCATTACTAGACCTGAGTAGGGATAACAAAGTTGTAGTACATCCTGCTGACAAGGGGGGCGCTATTGTGTTGCAGAATGTTAATGATAATGTTTCTGAAATGAATAGACAACTGAATGATACCATATTCTATGAGAAATTGCCATCAGACCCTACCTTGAGGTTTAAGTCTCATGTGGAATCAAAACTATCCACACATCTTAATAACTCTGAATTTGATAAGGGCACTTTTGAATTTATGTTGGTTAATTACCCTGTTATACCAGTCATATACACCCTTCCTAAGATTCACAAAGATTCACTCCTCTAATTGGCAGGCCTGTTGTAAGTGGAATTGGTAGCCTCACAGAGAACATCTCTACATATGTGGATCATTTCATTAAGTCAGAAGTTACTGGTTTGCCCTCCTATATAAGGGACTCTATATCTTGAAGACTTAAAGCAGGCAACTGGACTGTGTAGAGTTGAGAAGACGTTTTGCCTCTTATCCAAGAAGCTTCTCCAGTTCTAAAATTGCTAGTGTGAGGAGCAGATATTTATCTTGCTGGAGAAGGGGGAAGATAACGACAGGGTGGAGTTAAAGAGAATGGGTCGTAGAAACCTATTTCTGGGTGTGTGTCCCCCCAAGTCGTTAACCTGAAAGGGTCGTTAGCGACTCCTGTCATGTGACCACATGAGTCATGCCACCTGCGTCCTGTGGTTCCAGGTGTGAATGTTTGTGGAGCTTCCTGGGGAAAGAGCTAAGAACAGCATTGTAAGTGCCAGAGAGATTGTGCCTGAGTCCACCCCCTCTGTTCAGAGAAGGTTTCTCCAGCCTGGTAAAGATGGCTTCTTTAACTCCTCTTTCAAACCATCTGTCTTCTCGAGCCAACACCTGTACATTGCTGTCCTCGAAAGAGTGACCCGTATCCTTCAAATGAAGGTGGACAGCTGAGTCCTGACCTGAGGAAGTGGCTCTCCTGTGTTGAGCCATGCGCTTGTGAAGCGGTTGTTTCGTTTCCCCAATGTACAGGTCCGAGCATTCCTCGCTGCACTGGACGGCATACACCACATTACTCTGCTTATGTCTCGGTGTTTTGTCCTGGGGACGGACTAGCTTCTGCCTTAGTGTGTTACCAGGCTTGAAGTGAACAGGAATATGGTGTTTGCCAAAGATCCTCTTGAGTTTTTCCGACAGGCCTGCCACGTAAGGGATCACAGTGCTCCTCTAGCTCCTCTTGTCGGCCACACCACTCACCACGTCAGAAACTCACAGGACTTTGCAGAGAAAATTAAGGACATCAGGTTGGACCCAGATGAAACCATGGTTTCCTATGATGTCACATCACTTTTCACAAGTATTCCAACAACAGAGGCAGTCCAAGCAGTAAGACAGCACCTCTTACAGGACAGCAAACTGGAAGTCAGAACCAACTTAACCCCAGACCACATCTGCTCCTTATTGGACATCTGCCTCAGCACCACCTATTTCCAGTTCAGAGAGCGCCATTACAGACAGAAACACCGATGTGCTATGGGCTCCCCGGTTTCTCCAATAGTGGCAAACCTGTACATGGAAGAGGTAGAGAGGAAGGCCCTTACCTCCTTCAAAGGAGCAGCACCTAGCCACTGGTTCAGATATGTGGATGACACCTGGGTTAAGATCAAAACACATGAAGTAGAGGCCTTCACTGACCATATCAACACAGTGGACAGAAACATCAAGTTCACCCGTGAAGATGTCAAGGACAAGGTGTTGGCCTTTTTGGACTGTGCTGTACACTTGGAGGCAGATGGGTGTCTCAACGTTGAAGTGTACAGGAAACCAACACACACGGATCAGTATCTACTTTTTGATTCCCACCATCCTCTACAGCACAAACTGGGTGTCATCAGAACACTAAACCACCGGGCTGAGAATATTCCCATGAAGAAAGAAGGTAAGGAAAAGGAACAGAAGCACATGAAAAATGCCCTGACAACCTGTGGATACCCTAAGTGGGCCTTTGTAAAGAACAGAAAGAGAAATAACACTGAACACGAAACGGAGGAGAGACGCAAGAGCACTGTGATCCCTTACGTGGCAGGCCTGTCGGAAAAACTCGAGGATCTTTGGTAAACACCATATTCCTGTTCACTTCAAGCCTGGTAACACACTAAGGCAGAAGCTAGTCCGTCCCCAGGACAAAACACCGAGACATAAACAGAGTAATGTGGTGTACGCCGTCCAGTGCAGCGAGGAATGCTCAGACCTGTACATTGGGGATACGAAACAACCGCTTCACAAGCGCATGGCTCAACACAGGAGAGCCACTTCCTCAGGTCAGGACTCAGCTGTCCACCTTCATTTGAAGGATACGGGTCACTCTTTCGAGGACAGCAATGTACAGGTGTTGGCTCGAGAAGACAGATGGTTTGAAAGAGGAGTTAAAGAAGCCATCTTTACCAGGCTGGAGAAACCTTCTCTGAACAGAGGGGGTGGACTCAGGCACTATCTCTCTGGCACTTACAATGCTGTTCTTAGCTCTCTCCCCAGGAAGCTCCACAAACATTCACACCTGGAACCACAGGACCCAGGTGGCATGACTCATGTGGTCACATGACAGGAGTCGCTAACGACCCTTTCAGGTTAACGACTTGGGGGGACACACACCCAGAAATGGGTTTCTACGACCCATTCTCTTTAACTCCACCCTGTCGTTATCTTCCCCCTTCTCCAGCAAGATAAATATCTGCTCCTCACACTAGCAATTTTAGAACTGAAGAAGCTTCTTGGATAAGAGGCGAAACGTCTTCTCAACTCTACACAGTCCAGTTGCCTGCTTTAAGTCTTCAAGATAACCATGACCTGGATGAATGAGA